ATATCTCAAAAAAATCCCTCTTGTGGTCTGAAAGCTGCTTCTTTGGAGCTGCATTCAGCGGTACCCCGCTTGCACAGGGGGTTTGATATAGAAGCGTGGTGACTGCAACTGCTTGGACTGCTGGAAAGAGGGGTGTTTCACCCTTCCATCGAGGACAGGACTGCATGACTGCTCTGAGGTGTGCTGTTTGCTCATGTGTAATTTCTTTACGTGACTGCTCATGAAACCCACGCTGCCGCTGCGCCTGCTTCAGAAACTGAGCATGCTTCTGAAGGAGATGTCACTCCAAAGCCAGTTCAGGCATGAATTTTAATGAATATATCAAATTACCCACTTGAAGTATTCCCAGCAATGGGATAAGCTAACATTTGGAATAGCTAGCAAGAGGTAAAAATGAGGAGGAGAAAGAGTCAACATTCAAGATCAAACTTTGGAAAAAGCACAGCACGTGACTTCTCTCCTGTAACAGTATAAGTATTCGAGAAGAATGTACTTGGGTTAAATTATTTTTCCAGATGGAGCTCCAAGACAGTATTTCCCCATATTGAATATCATTTTGTCAGGGGTAAGTGGTCAAATATCTCTTTCTCCCAGTCAGACTGAGAACATCTGGAAAAGACCACCTTTAAAGCAACAGGAACAAGAGAAAAACAAACTAAAAAGAAGGGGACTGTCTTTTGATTCTCATGAATGCGATGCTGTGGTTGTATGGGGGCCTAGTTTCTTGGAGCAGTTTGCAAATATGCAATAGGCCTGGAGATACTCCAAATGCAAATGGCTGGAGAAGATCTTTGCAAGGCTGCTTGAAATGAAACTACATGAAGACTGCTAAAAGTGAATGAAAATCTGACAAAAGCCAAAAACGCTTCTGATGCAGCAAGGGACTACTGGGCACGCAGCCTGCAGGAAGGGTAAGCTGTGCCGGGCTGACATATCACAGAAATTCTGTCTTCATGAACTCAGCTACCGAGGAGATGTCATCAAGAACTGCATGAGAAGGGAGGACTGTGATGACATTTTGAAGTCATTCTCCAGTTGAATGCAAAAACTTCATACCCAGGTGTAGCGTTCAATTGCTGTGTTGTGAAATGAACTCTGAATAATCGAAGCTGAGTAAGCAACTCAAGAGACAACTGAAAAATTTATCTTGGCTCAAAAAATGCTACCAGAGTGACTGTGACTCTCAGTCATCCTGAATTGACAGGAACCAGCAGAAAAGTTTCTAAGCTGACCTTTCTTGCAGTGGAATCAAGCAAGTTTAAGGGATGAAAGTCAGATGCATTTCCAAATGTGTGGATTATTTTTTTTTTTTTTTACAAAAAAACCCTCCCTTTCTGAGAGTTTCAAAGACCCCATTTTCTCTGTCCCTAAGTTTCAGACATACAGTTCCAAGGAAGCTATCTGAAAAGCATGACTCCAGGATAGTCAAACAGTAGCTCATAGGTCCCAACCCGCAACCTTCTACAAAGCTTGTTGTCGTTCTACAACTGGCTGATACCACAGCTCTGCTTCTCCTACAGACAGTTAGCATTAAAATAAGTCTGTGTTACACGGAAGCTTTAAATAGTAATATTAAATTTAATTAAAGTAGTATTTAAATAGTATTCTATGGCAGCATCTGTAAAACCACTTTTAAAAATGAATCCTACTCTAAATGAAATCTTATACAACCTAACGTTTTACATGTTGTGACCAAGACTTAATATTTCTGAGTCATTTTTTGAGCTGCAGAATTGCCTGTCTTCAACTGCATTGAGGCTGCAAAACCCAAGCTCACTCCATAAACAGAGCTTGCAGTTTTTATGTTAACCTTTCAAATCTATGTTGAATTTATGCATCATGCTGGGAGTGGAGAAGAGCAGGACATTTCATGACTTCTTTGCAGATTTCAAAACCAAATCTGCTCAATCTGATTGTTGGTCACTTTTAAGGCATACACAGTAGATGAGACAGATCCCTGCCAATAGCTAGCATAATGGAAAATTGAGGACCTTGCTTTCTTTTTCCTCATTCTCAACAAGTGAAAAAAATGACTTGAAATTTGAGGTAAATGCGCTATTCTCCCTCTGCTTCCAGCACAGGAAATATCTGCAGGTTGGTACGGCATTACAAGGAAAGCACCTCATTGTACTTTCCTACACAATTTCTCATGGCTGTTGATTTTGAATGCAATATTCTCAACCATAACTCTCTCTGTATTCTCACCTTATCATTCTACCAGGACTTTTCTGAATAGTTGACGCAAAACTTTACAACAGAAGATCTGGTGGACAAGGGCACTGAAAAACAGTTCACTTTGGCAGCTGCACTCGTTTTCTCTTCCAGTGTTGCCTCAAGAATATATGCTGCCTCAGTAACAAATATACAAGCAGAAAAATATTCATGGCACCCACCCATTTGTGCCCACATTTTCCATCATGCTTCCTTAACAATTCAGTGAACATCCTTTTTTGTGACTACCACTGTAAGATGTACAGCAGTTGTTCTCTCAGACTTTCCTAAAACATACTGTCTCAGTACTGTAATCTTTTAATTGAAGAGACCAGGCTTACTATAAAATTGAGTTACCCCTACATTTGTTTCACTTAATTTTTAGGCACAGGGGCTACATATCTAACAGAAGATGCGAAAACCCCAACACGACACAGGCGTGGATGATCATTCAGTATCCCCCTTTCTACATTTAAAGAAATGACTGAGAAATTTGTTTCTGCAAAGGTGAAAATCATCATCTCAAGCTATGATTTACTGAAGTTCAAGCCTTTACACTGGATTCTCCTTTAGTTGTCATGAGAAGTAACATTAGTTTGTCAGTACTATGTATTCAGCTATGAATTGGTCAATAAAAGTTATCACACCACTCATAGTAGTGGTATTTAAAGAAACCACAGATGGTACTCAGGCTATAAGCAATTTTATTAAAGTACTTCTCTGCTTCAATACAACTTAACTCAAGTGTAAACCAAGCAGAATCATCAAAAGTAGAGCACATACATGCTATAATATTATTAGTGCTTGCAATACTGCAGAACTGAGAATGTCCAACTAGTAAAAGCTTCTAGTAAACTCTGAACCAAACCACAATCTCTGCTTGGCAAGCGTGTCCATAATGAGAGGACATCTATTTCCTGATTATTTTACTTCCACTTAGTGAAAATCAAAGCAATGGTAAGGCAGAGCAGTATGGTTTTGCTCATAAGGCCTCTTGACTCTCAGATTTCTGACTGAGCCACAGAAGGACTTGAAGGACTGTCACCATGATATCAACAGTTGTATTTATCAAAACTCACTAGATGCAGTTTCTCAGGATTGCAGACGTTAATCGAGAAACAAAACTGGACTTTTTGGAAACATCCGAAGGCAAATGCCACAGTTTACTGCACAAACTCCTGAAGAACTCTGGCCGTCTGAAGTGGACACAGGGATCACTTCACACCTCCCAAAAGCAGGGTAGCAGAAAGCAGCGCACTGCTCCAGGACACTTCTCGAAAGGAGAAAACTTGTGCCATCATCAGCCCTACTTCTGACAGCAACTCTAGTTTTCCATTGGTGTTCCTTACGTAAACTGATCCAACTGGACATGCTGAGCTTGAGATAACACTGGGCAGAAAGGCAATACTAAGAAACCACGAAAGTCGTTGGAGAAGTGCAAGACATGGATCCTCCAGAGCAAAGGAGTTGAGCAACCTGGTGTAGTGGAAGGTGTCCCTGCCTATGGCAGGGGGTTGGAACTAGATGATCTTTAAGGTCTCTTCCAACCCAAAACATTCTATGAATGATTTCCAGCAGGACAGACAGAAACTCACTGTAACAGAAGCTAGGTTTACACGCTCAAAGGCTGGAGGAGACGTGGCAAGAGCCTGGAAAGGTCAGAGCACATCCCATTGAGACTGTAGAGCAGGCCACAGAAATACTGAACCTCACCAGTCCATGTCCGTGCAGGAGCGTGACAATTTGGTTGTTTCTAGGACAGGGACAAAGACACCAATGGCCCTTCTAGTGAGTAACACAGATGCAAGTAGGAAGTTCTCCTCTTTCACTCACACATTCTGGTTTTGAGGAGGTTTTCACATGCATGCCACACAACATACATGTATCAAGGTAGCAGTTAAGTGGCAGAAACAAGGAGGAAATTCTCTTAGTACAGTCCCCTTGTGGTGATGAAATCAATGAAGTCGAACAGCATATGCACACATCTTATCCTCTGTAACACTCCCATCTTAAGTGCAGAGTATAGATCAAAAGCAGGAAAACCAGACTGCTCTCTCTAGAAATCTTGGTTTGTTCATTGCAGAAGCTGAAGGAGGCGGGGGAGACTGGTGTCTGACTTCCCAGCACCCTCATCTTTTAAGCTACGAATGAATCTTCCATGCCTCTAATTTGAGAATCACAGAATATTCACAGCTTGCGAAATGAAATCCATCAAGGCGTGTTTGAACATAAGTGATATATAAATGTTACGTATTCTGAAACATTAGGTCTTTTTCACTTGAAAAACAAGATTCTTCAGGTGGAAGGTATCTTTGCCCTACATGTCCTGACTCTCCATCTGCAAAAAGGAGTGCCTTTTCTAGCCTTTCACTTCAAAGAGCTGGAAGGAAGGACGAAGAGAAGAAGGCTACATATGTGAAAAATCTGGCACAAAGAAATGTAATAACACTGTTTTCAAAGCCAAGTACTAATTGCATGCAACAAAGGAAAAAGAGCCAGATTCTTTAAGAATGAGAATCACACATTAATAAATATTGGCTTACTATGTAAGCGCTATTTCCAAGCACACTGAAAGCACAATCCATTAAGAGGGGAAAAAACCTATATAATTAAAAGACGATATATCATTATGCAAGACTGAAAGATCATAAAGTTCTCAAAAACAGTTTACATGAAACACCTTGTACAACTGTGACAGAAAATGTATGTTGACGAGGTTATAGCAATGCACATTTTCATGCTGATTCCCAAGGAATAAAGCAGTCAAAAAAACACTCAAAACTCCATACCTTGATTATTTCCACCAACTGATCCACACCACTGTCACCTGGAAAGATTGGTTGTCCTAGTAACAGTTCAGCCAGTACACAGCCTGCTGACCACACATCTAAAAAGGGGAAAGAAGTGGAGGACAGGGAAAATATCAGTAAAAGGTACATATTAGGTCATTTATACAAAAACCTGCAGTTTTAAGCTAGTTACTTTCTTCTTTACCATATTTAATACTGTATACAATACACCAAAAAATAATAAAAAAAAAAACATTCCTCTGCTAAATGTTAATCTAGAAAACACAGATACCTGGCATAAAGCAACAGTGGACAGACAGTATTCGAAGTCAAACCATGAGACAATAAGAACTGGAAAATAACGTTAAACACCACAATATATTGACATGTAAGGAACAGACCTAAGAACATCTGCCATCTGAAAATCAAGAATTTCCCAAAACAAGACCTGAGAACATTTGTTATCTGAAAATTAAGAATTTCCCAAGACCCTGTGCTGTTTTCAAGTCACACTGATCAAGAACTATGCACAGGCATCATCTACTACAACGGCTGATGTTTTTACTGCTTCTGAATGTGAATTAGACTCAATTTTTCACCCATACGTTGAAATCATGTTTACATTAGCAGATGAACCAGCACTGCAAGTATTACCTGCATCCTGCAGTACATGATGATTAACGGATCTAGGAGACAGTCTCTCTAACTCAGTCACCTCAAGACCTAATCTTTTTTCCAATTCCATTTGCAGACTTGGCGAGACAACAGAACTGCAAGTCACAGATCAGATCAACAGCACCCACCAAAGAAGCCATCAACTAACTTCCATACATACACCAAAAGCTACCAGTAGTCACTAGCAGGTGCTCCTCCACATGAAGAAAATTTTCATAATTATTACGTGTGTAATTTCTTAGATATAAATAAGACAATTCAACGCTACAACAGCAACTTCACAATATATCCAAGTACTACAGAATACAGTATTTTATTTTTGAAACACAGTTAATCCAAACGAAAAACCTAACAAAGCCATTGCAGTAACCACTGCATAGCAGATGGTTCTGAGAATCTGCTGTAACTGCATACCAAATATTGAAGTTTAAGCAGCTCAGCACACTGGAAGTATTGCACCTAGATGCAGAGATAACTGTTTCTCCAGAAAAAAATACACTGACTATAAGGTTTTCTGGAAAGTTGTAATTTTTTGCAATGTATATCTGAAACCTTACACTAAAATCTAACCTCAAACAATCAGTTAAAATCTGTAAACCTACCATACTCTAACGCCCCAAAAGGGAAAAGAACAAAACCAGTCCCCTTCCACCCATCTGTCTTTGAATTCTCGTCTACTTTTATGATCTAATCTTCTCCTGCAAAATAGCAGCAGCAGCACCACAACTCAAAACCCAGAGAATTTACCTCCTGAGGCCTTTTCCAACCTGAGATAACCCACGCTATGGAAGAGATCCTTCTTCCTTTACTGTATTTTAACTATACCATTGGGAAGCAGGATACGCACAACACTGTCAGTTATGGCTAAAGGTTTGTGTAAAAAACATCTCTGACAGTTCTCTGAACAGTCTATTATCACTTTGTCACAACCACTGGAGACTGATGCGAAAAATAATTAAAAAAACTTTCAGGAATTCAAGATTGGTAACAAAATAATCTGCAAGTCAGAACAGACTTTTCCTTCCCTCATTTCTAAATGAAAGAGAGAGGGGCTATGCAAAAATACTTCCCCTTCTCAGGAAAGATACGGTTCAGTCATAACATACAGTAGACAAAAAGCACTGCTGGTTGCTGCAGCTTTCAAAAATCATTCACCTCTAAGTCAAGCAGATGCATTTTTATATAATAACTTAGTACAAACAATACATCAGGGATTATCCTAAAAAGTAACTACTTACAATACAAACAACAACCGGAAATAATCCAAAATTTGAGTCTTGAATTTCAACAAGACGACAAATCAGATTAAGCTTTTTGATCTTTTAGTCATATTTAATAAAAGCTGATCTGGCCACCGAGGTGCTAAGCTCTCTTTTGGACAACAAATGAAGAAGGCATCACGTAAAGAACATTTAATTGCATCCCACTGCTAAATAATGTCCCTTTGTGATAGCTCCTGCTGCTGGACCAACACATACAACAAAAACATAATGCAAAGAATCACTTTTTATGTCATCCCATGCATACTGGGTTCATAGAAGTTACACAGCAGTTCAACAGATAGCACAGATTTCTTCAGACGTATTGAAGAAACAGACTGAACGTACCAACCAGTCAGAGCACTGTAACTTAACAGCCTATTTAAAGGCACCTTAAGCAGTTTTGAAAGAGCTGAGTCCTTTACACTGAAGTGTATCACAAGCGGTACCCCAAAGCTATAATCGTTATTTACAACTTCAATCCTTACTTTGCACTGAAAAAGAAACAATATATGGGGAGCAAAAGTATTCGACAGCACATACACAAACCCAAAGCTGATGTGACAGTAAGTCAGCATTCACATCTCCCTGACAAAATTTTGAAACTATGCTGTGATTTTTTTTTTTTTTTTTTAAATAAGGCTGTGGCTTTTAAAAATTATTTTAAATAACCTTCTGGCCTGGCTGCTCCATCGAGTTGGCCTTGTGCTGTTTTATCCTTTCCCAATCTCCCTAAATGCCTTCATACTCCATCAGCCAATTTCAGACCAGTCTGAAAGGCAGAAGTCTCAAATCCATTGCAGAAGTTTTGTAAAAACAGAAAGGAGAGTGTGCCTCAGTGCTGCTGCTGAGGAGAGGAAGGCTTGGTCCCTGCAGGACGTGCCTGGCTTGCTCCCACCCCACCAAACTGCAGCTGTCAACAAGCTGAAGGATGTGCAAGGTCTCAAGGTCCTTGCTCAAGCAAGAAGGAAAGGCAGAAACAGCAGAAGGTACATGAGAAAGCTGAAGGCATCGCAGGGGGAGAAACAAGAAAAAAGATGTAGGTCATGAGGAAGTAGCTGAGGAAGTCTGAGGAATACCTGCTGTATCGGTGATGGCTTTAATCCATCAAGCATACAACAAATCCATCAGAAACCTATGTGGTTGTTCCTCACACAGTGAAATCTTCCAAATTGCGTGGTAATTTTCCTTGATTCTGCTTGCTAACACTTTAAACACACTGAAATAAGCTACAGGCATTCCAAAATCCCCAACTTTTTTCCAGGAGTGTGATTTCACTGACTTCCAAATTAGGACTTGGGCAACGTTCCCTGGGTAAGTAAGTGAACAAACCCTCGAAGCATCCTCAGCGCAAGCCAGAGAGCAGAGGCTGACTTCAGCAGCTCCAAGCAGGGACGGCAACAAAACACAATTTACACAGGTGTTTACACAACTCTGGTGAGCAAGGAAGAAACTGGGAAATTTCAGCTCTGCTGAAATTCCATGGAATTTATGCCATCGACTTTAACAGGACTAAAATTTGGCTCCCAGATTGTTTGCCTTCCCACCCCCCTTTCACCTTTGAATCTGGCATTTCAAAACTGATCTTCCACATGTGGATTTTCTCAAGCCTGAAGTAACCAATGTACTAAATTCCATATTTAAAGACATGTTACTTAAGAGAAGTGATAAGGTAGTTAATACCAGTTTTTGACAGCTCCTTCCCAGATCCTTTTCTGCCTTAGTACAGTCACAGCCAACTATTACAGGTTAATAATTCTTCAGAGAAAGTTTGTGGTGTAACTACCCGCTTCCATGGGAGGAGAAGCATTTTCTGAACTATTTCTTTTTAACGTGCACAATTTAATTAAGGTGAAACAAGACTACCATTCACATGCTTTAAACTGGTTAATAAACAAGAATCAAACCATCCTTATGCCAAACTCGTTGGGACAACCTGAAATTTTCGAAGAAAATACTGAAAGTGCTGGGACAATTTGAAACTTTAGAAGAAAATACTAAAATACTGAAAACACTGAAATTGTAAGCAGAAGAAAGCAGGCAAGGCTACTTCATTCATACCTTCAGTGAAATGTAGTCTAAATACGGCCAGTAAATGCAACTGCCAGCCAAAAGCAACCTCCAAATAATCTTATTTTAGAGAGTTTTCACACATTATAATAGTAGGTAATGTCATATCTTCTGTAGACTGAAGAACACTGAGACAAATACCATTATCACAAGAACTACCGGCACTAATTTAAGCAGACAAAAATTCATATTGCCTCTTACATCACAAAACTTTTCTTAATTAGTTTAATTTTCTATTACTTTAGGTGAACATTAACTCGCCTAATAATATCATCTGTATAACTCCCTTGCTTTTGAATGCCATTCCAGCACTAGAGAAGGTAAGAAAAGGAGTTCAGGAAGAGGTATCCAGCAGAACAACCTGCAAAATACACTCCTTAACTTCAATTGTACAAGTGGGCAATGGCCATTTCCAGCTGTCTGTGACAGAATATCCTGTCCACAAATTTCATTTCTGTTATCTCAAACTCTGCTTTTCCAAGCTGAGAAGCTGGCCCTCTTTTTCAAGGCATGAGCACCACTCGTTGTATTATGCTCCAGCTCCTCCAACTTGTTGTTTGGAGGACATGAAGAAAAAAGAAAAAGTTGAGTCTGCTCTCATCCATTCAGCACAAACTAAGAACTTTCCTTTATCTGACACTTGATGGGGCACATTTATCTTTCTACTTCCCTTGCCCCACCATCTATCCATCTCTGCCCCACTATCCCTTGATCTTGATGGACTTCTTCCATCTTGGAGGTGACTCAAAGCTGCTGCTCTAGAAACTCTGGAAACAAACTAGCAGGGAAGAAACCAAGAGTCAGAAAAGCAAGCCCTAGGAAGTCGTAAAATCAGCAGCTTCTAGTTGCCAAATGCCAGAACACGAAGTGCTTTTCATTGCTGCTTGTTTGGAACATTTTTTGGGATGTCAGAACGAGAGCAAAATTCTGGATTACAGGCACACATACTATGTCAGTGCAAGTTTTGTGCATCAAGCCACCACAGATCCACAGATTACAGAGACAGAATAAAGCTGAAGCATGAAATGCCTGGAAAGCCATCCTTGTTCCAGTACTTGGAGCAAAATCTCCAAGGTGTATGTATTCTTCTGCCA